GGAGGAGGAGGAGGAGGAACATGCCGACATAGTTGATCTTAGATATATTACGAAAGATGATGGTCATAATCATCATCATAATGATGATGATGATCCATATAAGTATATACAAAAGGCCTGTACTAACATTATGCATAATACTACTACTACTACATCATCATCATCATCATCATCATCATCATCATCATCATCGATGGATCATCCTAATAATCCAGTAATAGCATCATTATCATCACACACGTGTATGATGATTATGTCTATTATCCTACTAGGTTATTATAATTATCATGACTCCTAGTGATATGATGAAGGTAGAGTCAATGACCGATGGTAATCATGATATGTATACCATTATACAATCAATAGAGGCATCATTATCATCTATTGTTATTAATGATAAGGATTATATTAATGATAATACAAGAAAGGAAGTATGCAGGTAGTCATAATAATAATAATACTTAGTGTAAGTGTATGATGATAAGATATATATTACCACCATCTATGACAATGATAGTGGATAATTACGATATACTACTACCAACTACTACACTTAAAGCTGTGGTGAAGGTATATAATAATGATAATGGAGATTATGAGGATATAATATTTAAAGAGGTTATTACTATCCCCGTCATCATCATCATCATTATCATACAATATCACATTGCATCATCATCATTATCATCATCAGGTTATGGGTATACCAATAGTAGAGAACATAAGTATAGATAATGAGAAAGAGGAGAAGGAAGAGGAGGAGCATATTGATAAGATGATGATTATACCCCAGATAATAAAGTCTATCTCAATGAGGATGGTATCTTCTGAGAACCACCACCACCACTACCAGCAGCACCAGCAGGAGGAGGAAGAGGATGATAGGTATAAGTAGTAATGATGATGATGATAGTGGAATTGTTGATGATCAGATGTATACATCATAGAGAGTTCTCTAATGACATTACACTACTACAACAACAGCAGCAACAGCAGCAGCTTATTATACATAAGCTCATAGACAAGGTAGTAGTAGTAATGTATATACTCAGCATGGTCAACCATGCTGCTGCTGCTACTGCTGCATATTGTTGATGATGTAAACCCCCTCACAAAATAATAGAACATACAGTATTTTTTCGATTTCTCTGTTATTACTGCGACTCAGATTGTGAGATTTGAAATCTCAGATTTCGTGTGTGAGGGTATCACTTATGTAGGGGGTATCACTTATGCTTTATATTATATTGTTGTAGTAGATATTCATCTCTTACCTCGTTACACTGAATAATGTACTTAAGAATATGAAGCATTGGATGGAGTATACGATCATCCACCAAGTATCAGACCTAAAATACCAATTTGTAAGCATAATCATCATCATCATCATCATACTCAACAAGTGATAAAGTGATGGTATACTGTAGTTGATGAGAATGGAGGAGTATGATGATCTCAATGAAGGAGAGTGTAATAGGATGAGTATGATGATGATAAGAAGAGATGATCATACTGCATGGATGGATATAACTATACCAACTTGTAATCTACTACTACAACTACTATGGTCATCATCATAAGCATTAGATAAGAGGATGTTGGATGAGTATCGTAGAATTAAGGATAGTATTATACCAGACTTGATATGTCAATGGAGGAATACTATCTATACATTTGGACGGTAATACTACTACTACTCTTTGTAACATCATCATCACTATCATAATCCTTATCAGTGATCTAGCTT